TGAGCCGTGATCCACGTGAAGAAAAAGCCAAACGTGACACACGGTAGCTCTCGGAAAGCGAGAGATAATTAGGGCCGTTTAGTTCGCTGATTTGAGTTTTTAATTTGAGTTGAGATGTGATTTTATGTGAGAATTTTTTACTGTAGTGAAAAAGTTAAATGTGATTGTTTGTGAGAGTTTTTTACTGTAGCAAAACTCGAATTCTAAACTCGAATTAGCGAAATGAACGAGGCCTTAATGTTTTTTTTTTTCTTTTAAATTAAGTCAAGTTGAGATATTTTTAAGGGGGGAAAAGGAGCTCCAATTGAGATAATGAATAACATTGTACATAGGTTGATGCGATCTACAAAATAAAAATGAATTGTTATTACCTTAGGATTTGTCCATTTTCATTGTGGATTTTGTTTTTCTCCTAATCGAATAATGGTGCAAACAAATAATTTTTCTTAATGTATCTCTCAAATCAACATTTCGATCTTCTAGAGTCCATAAATATTATATATTGCATATTATAATTTTAGATATTATAATTCAGGAAAAAACCCGGTTTTGCTTTTATGACTGATAAGACTTTTAAGAATAAGTTTACGAAGATATATATTTTTTAAGGTAGATTAAGAATAATAAGTTTATGAATAGTCCTTTGTTATTGACAAATGTAAGCTAACCCAATTTGGTTTTTTTTTTTTTTTTTTTTTTTTTAAATAAAGAAGAGAGAGATAGATGAGGCGCTTAATGCCAATGAAATAAATCAAAGTCAATTCCACAAAAAGATTAGATCAGCCAAACTAATAGCATTAATTTCTTTTAAACATGTAGTTGGGAAATACCCGTGAGAAGTTGTTATTAGCATTAATTTCTTATAGTACAATAGATAAACTCTATATGGGGACAAAATTAACTCCCTCAGTCTTTTTTTAATATTAATATTAATTATTGCAAGGGTAGGTACACTATAGGTGGAGGTTTATATTCCTATAGATTTTTTTATAAAAAAAAAATGTTGTTGATTCTTTTGACATAGTTGGTCTTGAACTATAGATTTTAACGAAACAGACTCGAATTTTTTTTTTTTTTTTTTGAATAACGAAACAGACTCTAAACTTTTTTTTTTTTTGAATAAACCTAAAAAAATATGGCATAAAAAGATAACTATCCTATTTTCAAAAGAATTATTTGTTATGATTTTAAATAAAATGAAAATATAAGATTATAAGCTAACTTCACACAGTAGAGTATAGATAAATGAATAAAGTGAGTAAATTAAGACTCAAATTATTTGTGTTGATTGTAAGAAATTGGATCCGGATTTAAATCCCGTTTAGTTCATGGATTAAAATTATTTTTGATTTATGTGTGTTTTTTATAAAAAAAAATACTATAACAAACTATGAATCATAATTTAAATCAGAAAACGAATCCTCCGACTAAACGAATTTACAACATCGTTGATAAATGATTCCATCGGGATTCCTTTCGCATTAGATATATTCTTTTAAGATAAGTAGATGTGGTCAACATATATTGCTGGCAAAGTTGAGGGGCTCACCTTAATGTCATCGAGATCCATTTTCTAGGAGAAATAATTTATTTATTTATTTAGTTTAACTCAATTCGATGAGCTCCACATTTTATCTTAGGTTTTGTTTATTTCGCTGATTCGAGTTTAGAATTCGTGTTTTATTATAGTAAAAAGCTTTTATAAACAATCACATTTAACTTTTTTACTACAGTAAAAAGCTCTCATATAAAATCATATCTCAATTCAAATTAAAAATCTAAATCAGCAAACTAAACGGATCCGTAGCCTCATTATTAATAAAGAAAACAAAAAACTTTTATGATTTTTTTTTTCAAAGCCAATATTCTGATCTTTCTAGGAAAAGGGGATCATAACATGTGATGGAGCAGAGATAAGATAATCAGACTGTACTAACTCAATCACTCAATCAAACGCTGCTCTATTATGATATATGTTTCAAATTTGTTTAACAATAAACAGTGAGAAAATGAGATTGTTAAACGATATTTTGCTTTTAATTATAAGTGTTGCCATTATCTCTCTATCAAACCATTCTGCAAAAAGTTATTTCCAACTCAATACTTGAAAAAAGGTGAGAACACAAAGTGCAATCACAGAATTAATGGCGGCCATGTGAGAAAGATTGAACACAATCCCGGCCTTTGTGATACGGAAAGAGAAGTAACCTAGCCATTAGGAATCTTCCATTACTCTTTAACGTGTGAACACATTCAAATGTGACTTCAATCCATCATATTGTTTTCATGAATCTTCACTTCAAAACATCATCGAGTAGATTTGAATAAGATCCTTTTTATTTTATATTCTAAAATTTTCAAAAAAATAAAAATAAAGAAATTTCGATTTGTACATCGTTTATGAAGCAAATCTTGCCAAATCTTTCAAGCTGAGATTCTCACTTAACGAAGTCTCAAAAGTTTTGGGAAACCACAAAAGTGGCAAGGTGTGTATCTAAAACAAGCTTTTGTATCTAACGAAGTCTCATAAGAACACCTTTTATTTAGATCTTAATTGTATCTAAAACAAGCTTATTAGGCGGACGTTTAATTCATAGATTTAAAATTATTTTTATTTTACGTGTATTTTTTATGAGAGAAAATATTACAGTGAGTCGCGAATTATAATTCAAACTATGACACAAATCTTATTTCCAAACGCACACTAGGTAACAAAAAAAGAACGTAACGACGGATAAAGTATATTTGAAGGCGCCTCGTAAATTTAACATTACTTAGTATAACACAGTTCGACTTTGTGATTGAACCAGTAAATAGCTTACACATAGGACGATCTCACTAGCATGATTATTAATTGTTGTTGTCGTTGTTGTTATTTGATAAGAGCATGATTGTTTATTTTCTTGATAATCTTGATAAATATTCTTTAAAAATGTATGAATTACGATTTTTATCGTTTACTTTTAATTCATAACTTTTTTAGTTAAATAATTACACTAATAAACATATATTTATTAAAAATAAAGGATAAAGATATAAATTCATACACTCTCAAGAGTAAATTTTTTATTTTTTTAATTTTTTCCCTTATACATACCTAGAAAAACGTCCCTAGCTATGAAGTGGAAAGGACAAAACTCTCGCCGTTCCTTTTGATTCTTAGAAAGGGTAACACGTAGAGATTTAGGTGCTGTTCTTTTACATTTTTAAATTATAGTGACTTGAGTGATGATCTTGAGTTGAGTTTGAATTATAATTTGAGTTGAAGTTGTAACTCGAGTTTGTGTTTGGATGTGTACATTTGAATTGAGAATCTATTTGAGTTTGTGTTTGGGTGGGTTAAAACTTAAATTTATATTTAGATAGTATTTTAATAAAAACTTAATGTTGATGAAAAATTTTAATATGGCACATGAGTGAGGTTTTATTCGTCTTTTCGTTGTGAATGCATAGAAAAAAAATCATCTCAATCAGAATTAAAACAAAAAAGTTATGATATTTTTAAGAATAGAAAAAATATTGTTCATTAACTTGAGTTTGAGTTTATGAACTCGAGTTGAAGGAGGAACCCCGTTCATTTTACCGATTCGAGTTTTGTTACAGTAAAAAGCTATCAGAAACAGTCACATCTAACTTTTTTACTACAATAAAAAGCTCTCACATAAAGTCACATCTCAACTTGAATTAAAAACTCGAATTAGCGAACTAAACAGGTCCTTAAACTTAAGTTTAGCCCTAAATTAGAATTCAAACTCAAATTTAAACTCAAATTTTATAAAAAAAATATAAACTTAAATAAAATTATAACTCAAATTTAATTTTTTTTTTAAATTTCATTACAAAAGAACAACCTTTATATTTGAATAACTTTATCCCAGCGAATTGATTTATAAAGATATGATATATTCTTCTTAATTTGATCTCTTGTCTTGTGTAAGATCGGCAATATCTATCTAGAAATTTAACTTAAACAATGACTTGGTTATTTAAAAAAAACAAAAAAACAAAAAAACAAAACAAATTGGTTGGCATACCGAACTCACTTGTCGTTTCCCGGGCAACAATGGCACGTTTTTTCATCCCCAAAACACGCTGAAATTAATCATATTAAACTGGCATAGTTTATTTCATCGATTTGAGTTTTTAATTTTAGATTTTTACAGTAAAAAACTCTTAAAAAATATCACATCTAATTTTTTTTGCTATAATAAAAAACTTTCTGAAAATGTCACATCTCAGCTCGAATTGAAAACTCGAATCTACGAAGTGAACGAAACCTACCAATTCGATATTAGTAGGTATTCTGTCAGAAAATATAATTTATTTATTAAATATATTACAAATATTAACACAAATATTATTCATTTATTAATCGTGTGAATCTTATTAATTCGTATAACTCATTTAAATTAATATATTATATAAATAATTAATATAATAATGACTTATTTAACACGATCATATGAGATTTAATATATTTATTAATCAATTTATTTTCTTTTAAAAAAAATAAATGAATTATACCTATAAATATTAAAATACATATTATTTATATTTAATATGTTATATAAATTTTTATATTATATTACATATTATTAAATTATAGATAATATGTATAATTAATTATGTTAAGAAATTAACTTTAATCATATTAATCGTGTTAAATTAATTATGGCTTAATTTTATTTATAATAAACTTAAATTTATTAATTTTGTATCGTGTCCTAGTGTGGATTATTAAACAACCTTTAGTAGTTCTGACATGATATTTTAATTTTTCTGCTCACTCAGTAGTGACCACGTGCATGCATACGAAAGGCCAAAGGGATTTTATATTATTTTAAGTGTCATCACATGCCCCCACCAACCTGGCAATCTCTTTCAATTATAGCAATAAAGATTTCGTTCCCACTACATTTCCAAATAAATAAATAATAACAAAAAATTTAAAAAAAAGAAAAAAGAAAAAAAAAATAGAGTGTTGAGCTGATAAACACATCTGATCGCCAAGCCCATTTATACATCTCTCCCAAAGGTAGAATGTGCGACCTCACTTAAGCTCCTTCTTTACGAGTTGAGCAAAACAAAAAAAGGAGAGAGAGAGAGAGAAAGAAAGAAAGAAATTGTAGAGAGAGATGGGCACAGAGAAGAGAGGTAGCATTGCCTTCTTCGCAACCTACCGGCCACCATTGCCACTTGACGTGTACTCATGCCGGTTGGATCCTCCACCCACGTCCAGGAAAGATGAGCTTCACTTGATCGCTGACAAATCAGACAATTACAATTACAATGCCCAAGTCATTCCACCGGCGGCCCTCAAGACTATTCTGAAGCGCCCAAAACTGGCCGGCAAATACAAAGAAGCCGATGTAGATTCCGGTCTTCTTTCGGGCTTTGTTTTCGTCTCCGAACGAGGCAGCCCCCAGCTCGAGACGCTCCACATAGCTCTCCGCATCAATGACGAGACCACGCCCGAAGTCACTGTCTTCAGTTTGGCTGATATTTTCGGCACAAAAGACTTCAGTGGCGTTCGTTTGGAAGACAGTGGTTGCTTTGCCGGTGATTATCTCATCTATGTCAGCACCAAGGAGCCCGCGCGTAAACGCCGTCAACCCTGGACTGTCGTTTACAAAACCAATCTTAAGACCGGAAAAACCGAACGCCTCACTCCGTCAAGTTCGTACCTATCTACCCTTTTTTTTTTTCCTCCTTGTAAATTTGTGAATTGTGATGAACGTAGTAGAGAAATTGATTAAGGTGATTTAATAAGTTCATTCTGTAACAGTGCAAGCTGATTTAAGCCCCGCCGTGTCACCGTCGGGAAAGAAGATAGCGGTGGCCTCATTCCAGGGAAAGAGCGGTGGATGGGAAGGCGAGATCGAAAATCTGAAGACAAACATTTTTGTGATGAACGTAGACAAGCCCTTTGATCGCAAGTTGGTGGTGACGGACGGTGGGTGGCCGACGTGGGGAAGCGACGGCGTGATATTTTTCCACCGCAAGATTGAGAACTCAACTAAGAGCGAAGAGAACTTTTGGGGTGTATTCCGAGCCGACATTAGCAAAATTCTCGCATCAAAGAGCAGTCCTCCCATCACAGACGCCCCTCGTGTGACCCCGGTCGATATCGATGCTTTCACTCCGGCGGCCATTAGCGAAACTAAAGTGGCAGTGGCAACTATTCGCAAAAAATCAAAATTCAGTGACGTCCGTGTAGAAGATCAGTATCGGCACATTGAAATTTTTGAATACTCACCCAGTGGAGTAAAAGAATCCGTAAAAATCACTCGATTCATAAGACCAAAGGCTGACCATTTCAACCCTTTTCTGTTCGATGGTATTGATGAGACAAGACGCATCGGTTACCATCGTTGCAAGAGCGACCTTATCAAGGTAGGTACCACTGCCAATTACCACTTTGAATTTCTCAATTAACTTGAAATCCTTGCTAACTAGTATGGTTAATTTAATTGTGATCGAGCTTTGACAGAAAGGAGAGGATATCCCAAGGAAGTTCCACAAGCTCGAGTCTCCGCATCCGGACGTAGGACTGTTCAGGGTCTCGGGAGTGTTTCCGACATTTTCCAAAGACGGCTCCCAACTTGCATTTGTTGACAATGAGTTCAAGGCCATCTGGTTGGCTGATAGCAAAGGCTTGCGTATTGTTTTCAATGTATGCATATTTAACCAGAATCTTTATCAACGTATTTAGCATTAACACATTCAAGTATATACACTGATCATCACTTTCAAAAATTGTTTATGCAGACAAAAGTCGACAATTTCTTCTCGCCAGTTTTTAACCAAAATTCAGAATTGGATATACTTTACGTGTGCTCGGGACCTTCTTTCAACGCCGACAAAGAACTGAGCATCGACGCCATCTTTGACGTGTCCAGTGGTGATCAGCAACGTATAACGCTCACAAAACCCGGCTCCAATAATGCCTTCCCATCCTCCAGTCCAGACGGTAAGTGACATCCTTTTTGTTCCTTCTGAATCCTTAATTCTTTCCAAATATATATATATATATATTGTCAACTTAATTAATGACGAGTCGGAGTCCCTTCATGTTTCAATTGATCATAGATCAACTCTGTATATATAAATTGTTTCTCAATATTATTTTGTATGACAAATTAATTACATAATTTTCAATATATTAATTTGTATGGACGGGTCCTTGTGACAGGGAAGAAATTAGTTTTTCGATCTACAAGAAATGGTGGGGATAAAAAATACAAGAACCTATACATAACGGACGCAGAAGCAGGGGAATATGGGAATGGCTTTTTAACAAGGCTAACAGAGGGCGATTGGACTGACACACATTGCCAATGGTCCCCAAATAGTGATTGGATAGTATTCTCATCAACCCGCGACAAGCCTAAAGATGCACCCCCACTTGACAATGGTCTTGACCCAGGTTTCTTTGCAGTGTTTTTAGTGAATGTGAACAAACCGTCGGTGGTGGTAAGAGTGGTAGGAAGTGGAAATAGACTTGCAGGACATTTGAACCATCCATTTTTTAGTCCGGATGGAAATAGCATCGTTGTGACTGGGGATCTTGCCGCAGTTTCTTCTGAACCCATCTCTTTACCTCTCTTCCTGCACTCTGTGAGGCCTTACGGAGATATCTTCACTGTCGACATTGACCCGAAGAATATAGAAAAGAACGAGGACGTGGAGAAGTTCAAACGCATCACACATAGTAGATACGAGTATTCGACTGCTAGTTGGACCATGTTCTCAACTACAGACCCGAATGCAGCGTGGAACATGCAGCTTGCAGCCGGCAAAAGCTACACTCCCAGCTGCCCTTATGCATACGCCGATGGCGGCGAAAGTTGGCACATGACTGGCCACCTTTGCATTCCAAAAAGATGTTGTTGAGTTGATTGCCTTTTGTTTGTGTTGTTCCTGTATCTTGCACCTATCTGCTTTTCATGATCCCGTTTGCGTGCTTTCGTTTTTTATGTTCCTAATAAATAATATCGTCGTCTTCATTATCTGCTACGTACTGCAATTTCAATGTCAAATAGAGCCGTGGCTACAGAATTCATGTATAAGCAGAATTTGCCCTGTTGTTTCCAGACTTAATAAATTACTGTTGATGTGCACTGTGTGTACTTTACTTTATTGAAAATTCTTAGAATTCCTCTCTTTGCTTGATTATTTAGTACCTTGATCTCCAGACTTATCATCCTACCATGTCATCTGCAGACAACGAAGTAAATTCTTAAGTCAAATTTATTTCTACAATCAGAATAGGTTGTATTTCATTACCATGGGCGTGGTTGCAGTCGAGACGCTTTATACATGTGAGTTCTGTCTACAAAATTAGCTTAACTCCAGGCCTGATACCAATACTGTCACTGCCCCTACTATTGTGTAAACATATCAAGAAGGTAGAAAATTTTGTAACTTCAAGATGTTTATTACATAACCATCATAATAAAACGGTTAGTTCCAAAAAATATCTATGAGTTCAAAAGACGATATGCTGACAAAGGGTTTTTAAATGGTAAGCGACTTTGCATCTGCAACAGCAAATAGTCTTTTCGAAAAACATGGAATGAAAATTCAAATCACTAAACGCGGAGAATATTTTTGCCTTTGTAATTCACTCTTCGTTTTTTCTCCCCCTTTCCTTCGTTTAAGCTCGTCATAGATGGTGTCTTGGGGACTCGAGACCAATAACTTTCAATTGGTGAGGGTCAATGTTGTCCACCAGTTCGCTAACAAAGCAACACTTCGTTAGGCAAACGACAATTAGAAAAACGTCCTTACCCTTTTTCCCCTTGTGAGTTATGTCGTTTGACAGACAAAACGAGTTGCCTCATCTTAACGAAGAAAATTCATTCACAAAAAAATGCAAAACTAATAACAGATGAAAGCTTCTTGCACTCTCTAAAGTCTATTTCCCTTCAAAAAGCCTACGGTTTCAACAAAAAAAATTTCTTTTTCATATGGAAAAAATGGGGGTCAAAACTCAAACAGGCGTAGTTCAACCATTCCCTCTTTTCTTTTTGGAGAATACCAGAAAACCGCTTTTCCTGATTCTAGAAGTCTGAAGGAGTAAGTTAAGCTGCATATGAAATCCTCCACATGCGGCCCACGCTTGTCGGATGACGAGTCAAGCAAAATCCTCGAATCTAGTCGAACAGCTATGGGCCCCGCAACCTACAAAGACAATCAAAATCTTTTTTCATGCTATTTTCAATTATATTAAAAGCTGCTATACATACTCTGAAGGACTAATGTTTCAGCCATTAAAATGAGGTCAAATCGTACATCAAAAATTCTTTTATGATCCTATGCATTGGTTTTTACATTTATTCATATGCATAGTTCAGTAGTGTCACTATGGCAAGATCCTACTCCTACTCATCTTGAGTGAGTTAGTTTATTTTTCGTTTCGTTTTGTTTTTTTTCTAAAATGGAATCACCTCGAGTTTGTTTACCTCAAGGAAACATTAACATTATCTGCAAACATATGTACTAAAACTAAAGAGACTAGAAGGTAAGGCGTAAATTGGAATACCTGCTGCTGAAAGATCAGATTGAGTCTAGGATGGGAAGCTGGATCTTCAGTATTATCAGAAGAGGAACTTTTGAAACTGTTGAGAACCCTTTTGGCAATAGCTGAAGCTGAACAAATATCCAAGCGAGCGTCGACCCTGGTAAGATCGCCATAGAACTTTCTGAAACATCCATGCTGGAAAGTATAGCAAACTGAGCCAAATAAATCAGCACTTAGTGGGCTTCTCTTCTGCCTGTCTCCGAACCAGGCAGCGCAGGTACCACCTACAATGAAAGTTCAACAACAAATAGGAATCAGTGAAAAAGTTTATTTTGTTTTCGTTCTTTGTGTAGAGTTGTTTGTAAATACTCCTATGTCATAGTGGAATTTTCAAAGCAAGTAATAACAGATAAACCTTCCCTGATCATCTAAACTGATCAAAATGAGAAGTACATATTTTAAAACAAATTTGTATGCTGCCATGGTAATTAACCAGGATACCGAAGCAGCACTTTATAACTTCTCACTGTATGGCAAAACAAGAAACACTATGAAATATCGATCAAATCAAGAAAATTTTACATTGTTCCTCATTTATCATGTTTCCCCAGAATAGCTGCAAACCTCCTACTGGAGGAAAGTGGTGAATACTGTTAGAGGATACTGATATCTATGTGCTTATGAGTAAACTTGTCAGAAAGAGAGAAAAAAAAAGTACAGTTGAAAAAATGGAAGGAATGTCCAACAACGCAAACGTAACATAAACATTCCAAAACAAGAAAATGGTGCTTCTTGAAAATTGTAAAAACTACACAAGAGGAATCGAGAACTTCGTTTTATACAATGAAAGAGGTAACATTAAACGAACAGAAAATAGAAGCAAATCCGTAAGTCTGCGATATTACCAATAATTCCAGATATTGCAGAATGAGGTTCATTAAGACGCACATCATACGAAGGCCTCCAAAACAAACCCCTATCAGTCCTCTCTATTATGTCCTCCCGTTTCTCTCTCTGCCTCCAGAAGTCCATGCTTTTCTCGTAAGAAAAGGCAGCCTTTGCGCATAAGCCAGGCAATAGAGCAGCAGGTGGATCATGACTTGTGGCATTAACTGCAAGAGGATGATCACTACTTTTATGCAAACCAAGGCGATACCGCAATCCAGATTCAGAAACAAGGGATAAGAGATCCAAGGAAATTGACTCTGGCACATCCCAATATTGCCCTTTATGGTCAACGAACAGTTGAGGCCACGCAGCCTCGAATGTGATATCGTGATAGGGTAGCTGAAAATATATTGGAGATCAAGATAGATTGATCAGTTGTTTGAGGAATGAAACACTTCAATATATGAAGCTTTTCATCAGAAGAATAAATGTCATTAGCCAATTCGGCATTTAATGTTTTTGAGTGAAATATGTTCCGATGAAGGATGTGAAACAGAAAGAACTCCTCACTTAAGATGCATTCGTATATAGGATATGAAAAGCACAACACATATTCAACCAACACATATTCAAATCTCTGCAGACATAATAATATTAGGGAAGTAAATAAGCAATCAGAAATGAGAATGCATGTTAGGCTTAAAACTTAAAAGCTACTTCATGTCCAAGTGTGCAGTAGCTCATATAGACTCAAACCTTGGGATAAGCAGCATCAAGCTTTTAACTTATACCCTATTCTAAGAATGACAAAAAGAAGAAAATGGTTACGTAAAAGATCCTTCCAACCAACAGTAGAAACAAATTTCCATCTAAAACAAATAACAGCAAGCAAGCAATCCAACTAACTAATAGTAACATTTTCAACATTGGTGTTTATATAATACAAAAATTCAATGTGAATGCTTGCCTTATGAAAAAGCATCATTTTGTGCCGCCGTCCCTTTTTCTCGCCATGCCCTTCCGTGCTCCATTTAATGGATGTTGATGGAGTCGGGGAAAGCTGTGTGGTTAGCCCAAATGAATAAAGTGACTTATCCAAAATATGCTTAGCCACATCTTTGAAAGAAGGAAACTCTGCCTCGTCACTCTTAAATTCAGCTTTAATCGAAGAAATCAGTTTCTTCGGTCGGAACTGCCCGATTAATCCAAGCCACCTATATTCATAGCCATAGAGATCCTCAGTACAGCAGTTATTATATTGGATAACTAAATTGAAATTCCGCGAGGCAAGCTTGAATTCTTAATTTTACCAAGCCATAATGCTTTTCTTGTTCAACATAATTTGTGCTCAAGGAATAAAAAGATTTTAGTACAATATTATGCATATCCAAAAAAGAAGTAAAGGCAGTATAAGTATTTATGATAAGGGTCTCTAAGACAATCAGTCACTTTCAAACAATTTGGAAATATACAATAATATTATATATCTTCAAGCTGGATAGAATTTTTACCCTCCAATCTACAAAATATGAAGAAAATAACCAACTTCCAAACAGAATACTGCAAAATTTCAGATCAGTTTTCCTTCATTAAGCTCAACATGAGAACCAGAATCTGTCCCAAAAATGGCAGGCCCTAAACAAGAACTACACACTAAACTAGAAAAAATCAACCATTAGTTTTCTGGGAACATTAAAAAGGAAAAATTTCCCCATCTCTCTGACTCTCTTGCACAACCAACATCATAATTCAAAAGTATAAACACAACTTTCCCAAGCCACATTTTCCAAAAAACCAAACAAAGACAAGAGAGAGAGAGAGAGGTTCAAAAACAAACAAGAGCAATAATATTAGTTACCAGTTGGAAGTGGAGGGTTTGAGCAAGAGGGACTGGAGAGAAAAGGAGCCCAAATCCTTGGAAGAAGTAGGAGAGAGAGAAGGGATAATGCCAAGAGGAAAGCCATTTCCCAAGAGCGAGACTTGCTGTATTCTCAGGGCTCGGCTGGCTCGAGCTCCGTCCATGGGGAAGGGCTCACCGGGAATGGCCTTCGCGTTGCCGTCAAGGACTCGAGGCGTCGCCAAGTCCAAGTCCCAGAACGCCGAATCCATGGCCGTCCTCAGTCTCGCCATGGTTTTTGTTTTTGGTGTTTTGGCTTGTTCCTTATCTCTCTTTGTTCTCTTCTGTATCTATTTTCTCTTCTCTTCTCTTCACTTTTGGGACTTTGAAAATGAGAGAGCGAGGAAGAGGGGTTTTTGTGAGGTTCTTAAATTATAAGTAATCTCATTTTAGTTGTTGATTTTCAAAATAATACAGAAAATGTGTCTTTGATCTATTAAATTAATCTAAATTAGTCTTCGTCTATATGATTGTTAAGTTTTCAAAGGGAAAAAAAAAACAACGGGATATTTATCTTTTTATATTTTGTGTTTTGAGTTTATTTAAAAATAATATATTTAATTTTTAATCTTATTAAATATATATCTTTAAATTAGATTTAATACTAAAATTTATATATTTTCACAGTAATTTACGATTTTAACTATAAAAATACCTAAAATACCCTTAAATAAAAACATAAAAAAAAAAAAAAAAACCTAAACAAAAAACTTTAAACTCACAATTTTAACCTCTAAAATATGTAAAATACCATTCCAATAGATTTTTTTGTGTTATTAATTTTTAATTACCATAATATTAGAAAGTTTAGGGTGTGTTCATTTGTACAACTCAAGTCATGACTTCGATTGTGTATGTGAGAGAAAAATACTATAGTAAAAAAGTTAAATTTGAATTTATGTGAAAGAAAATACTGTAGCAATTTGACTTGAGTTATGAAATGAACAAGGCCTTAGTGCTTTTTTCACTTTTTTTAAGGATAGTTTAGTCATTTTAAATGTTAAAATTAATTATTGGCCGAAATAAGGTATAAATTTGTATATTAAATTTTAAATTTAATTTGAATGTATACATTTAATGAGATAAAAAATTAAAAGTATATATTTTGAATAAACTTAAAACACATGGTATAAAAATATAAATATCTCAAAAAATACTTTTAAGACTCTGATTTAGTGAAAGATAATTTTATAAATTTATTTCCAGTTTTTGCCAATAAATGGAAACTGTTTATTTTATAGTTATCTTATATAACGTATAAAAAATAAAACGATTTTCTAAAACCAACATTCTCAATTAAATTTCTAAAAATGGTAAACAGAAAGTTTACTACCTGTAATATACTAGATTCCTTTAAAAGGCAATATCTAGTCATCAAGAAATTTGCAAAAAAATTACAGAATTTACCTTTAAGAGTACATTAGTCTAGACTTTTACTTTTTTATTTTTTATCAATACTCTTTTATTAATGTAATTATTTAACTAAAAAAATTATAAATTAAAAATAAAGAGTAAAAATCTTAACTCATCAACTTTCAAGAAATTTGTCAAGATTACCAAGTCATCAGCATCGATAACAAGCACGGACTCTGGAACCTTGTAGATTACTTTTAATAATCTATAAGATTACTTTTGCTTCTCAATAAAGGTGCATGGCCTCTCTAGTTTCACTCGTCGGCACCGATCGTCTGAAATAATCTAGTATATTAAAACAAATGGTCTACTATATTAATTCTCGAATCAAATACATATTAAAAAATTTACCAGATGAAAAGAAGTAATAAAAATTATCCTGCAAAATAATATAACTCAGGTCAATACAAACAAAATTTTTTGGGTTTCTATATCTACAATGGAAGCTGAGAAGCTTTTTCAAAAGGAAAATAATAGAAAATAAGCCAATATGAAAAGTTTAAGAAAGTATATAGGCTAATTTTTAGTTGTAAAAATTAATAGGTCATAACTTGTCAAGTTATGGTTCATAACCAGATAAGTTATGATTCATAACCATACAAGTTATAGATAAAAATCGTAAATTATGGATAAGTTATGGTTCATAACCAGATAAGTTATGGATGAAAATAATAATTTAACTTATTTATTAACTTATGTAAACTATTGGCCTACTAATTTTAATTCATCTTAAGTCTTGACCTATTTCCATCTTTCTCCCTTTTCAAAATTTTATAACGGACCGAAACTCACAACACTTTTATGATTTTTATCATTGCACACGACACGAGCAACAAAAAATTATTTCATTTCAACAACATGACATATATGAAGCCAGCTGACCTTCGATCTATATACTATGAAATAAGTGTTTATTCTGATTGCTCAAGTAAAAAAATTGTCATAAGTATAGATAAATATTAATCTTGATTATTAAGATAAATATAAAATCAGCTCTAAGTTTAAATTAGATTTTGGTCATTGAAAGGTTAGACTGTGTTCAGAGAAACTATATTGGTTTAGAACGCTTGATATCCAAAGTATTTCAAAGGATGAACACTCCAAAATTTTTGGATGATTTTTGTTTAGTTGTATTTTTGAGTTATGGTGATTTGAGTGTAGATCTTGAGTTAAATTTGAGTTATAATTTGAGTTGAAGTTGTAACTTAAAATTGTGTTTGGTTGTGTACATTTGAGTTATGGTTTAAGATGATAATCTTTTTGAGTTTGTATTAAGGTGGGTCAAAATTTGAGTTTGTATTTAGATAATATTTTAATAAAAACTCAATGATGATGGAAAATTTTAATTGAGTGGGGTTTTATTCGTCTTTTCGTTGTGAACGCATAAAAAAAAAAGAACTATCTCAATCGAAATTAAAACGAAAATATAATAGCGTTTTTAAGAATAAAAAAAATAACGTTCATTAACTTGAGTTTGAGTTTAAGAACTTGAGTTAAAGGGAAAATTTGAGGTCAGATTTTAACCCTAAACTCAAGTTAAAATTTAAGTTAAAACTCACGTTCAAACTCAAATTTTACAAAAGAACATGATTTTAAATAAATTTGTAACTTGAGTTTAAACTTTTTTTAAGTTTGGATGCAAACGAACAAGCCCTTTGAATCTGCAAGAAGGGCCAAGAATACCATAAACTGTACTAGCTGATGGTAAAGTATGTTCCTTGTGCAAAATGTTGGGCATATAACTTTTGCTACAAATACCATAATCATGTTATTAGTAGCAAAAGGCGAGAATAAAATTTTGTTGCTAATTTAATCATGTATTCCACCGTGTATTTCTTTTAAAAATTTCTCAAGCACTCATCATTACTTAAAGCAAAACTTAAGTGTATCTTTTGGTACAATTGAAAGCTTAATTGGAGAAAACCTTTCGCATTGATTTGTTTTCGGCTCCAAATAAGATGAGAGAAAAAACTAGTGAGGAATAGTGTATCCCCTCTTAAGAGCCCTTAAATTCATTATGAATTCTCATGCACAAAATCATGATAACAAGTACAAGATGTCTTTGAACGTTTTTGAAGTTCATGCCTACAGAGACTATGCATATTGATCTACTTTATATTGTTGCAAAATACACAACAAACTTATACCTACTAATTGAAAATTTAAGTGGATGGCCGGATTTTGGCAGCCCCTTTTAAATGGGAAAAGGAGGCATTTAGATTTTTATTACTTATTATTGATTAATATATTTTTTAATTAAATAATTTTATTAGCTAAAATAGTATTAATCAAAAGTAAATGATAAAAATTCAAACTTATACAATCTAAAGATAAGATAAACAACTTTTTTCTTTTTTAAATTGATGGTCAATTTTTTTTTTTTTAGGTAAATGGCCAATTAACTTTCATTTTTTTAGGTAAATGATCATTTTATTACAGTGATCAATCATAAATATACCATGGTCCATTTCTATCATTTGTAAATCGGTTTATGATTGATTTGACGATGGTTTATCAATATACATCTGGAGATTATTGATGGAAATTGGTTAATCACTAACAGATACTGGTTAATAGGTGATAAACTACCAAATCAATTTATGATACACTAATAAGCCAACTACCATGATTCATTAATTATCACTTGTAAACGGTAATTTTCTTAATTTTTACAAAACTTTCATCATTTACTAAAAAATAACTCAAAAAAACAGTGGGCACGATTAGAACTCGTTCCAAAATGATTTTGTTTTTGTATGAAAATGAAAATGAAAACGTTTTCAATCTCAGACATAAATTATTTTTAAAAATGTGTTTGGTAGTTTTATCAAGAGATTATTTTCAGTGTAAAAAAACTCATTAATATCTTTCTTTCTCTCTCTGCTTGAGAGATGAGAAAATGAAAACAAAAAATGAAAAACGACTAAAAGTCATTTTTCATTTTTCTTTCATTTTACATTAAACTAAAAAATCGTTTTCATTTCTGTTTTTTGTCTTTATTGCGCCAAACGCCGTTTTAAAAACGTTTTCATTTTTTTTTTTCTCGAAAAATGTAAAAAATAAAAACGGAATCAATTCCAAACACGGCCAGTATTTTTTGCACGCGTCCCAAAATATGCAATAAATTCCTCATAAAGAAACTACATAATAAATAATTTTCTCATATTATTTAGAAATTAACATGTTTTCTTTTGGGGATTATTATGGTTGCCCATACAGCCAGCTAATTGATGACAAAAAATTATAGTGTCACGGTGGTCATGCATTGATGATTAGTATCCATCCATTTATGGATTTTGCATCAACTGCTTTAATTCCATAATGCAATCACCAAGTTTTGTCCCTTAGAAACACTGAAAATCACGGTCTTCTCTTTCCTAAAAAAAAAAAAACGGCTTTAAAAATTGAAATCATGTAACACGGGTTTGCGATGAACAAAAAAATTCTTTTTTTTTTAAATACATTTTTTCAAAGTTATTGTTAAGTAAAAACATTGAAATTTGTAATTGTAATAAAATATATATCATATTGCAACACTATCTCTATATGTTACAATATACGACTGTAACCTCTATCAATGATTATCAATTTACTTTGATTACTGTATTGATCACTGTGATCAGCAATATCAAAATGATTTTTCAGCAAAAAAAAAAAAAAACTCTAATTAAAATGACTTCCTTAGTTACCATCCCCTATATTAATACTATATAATCATTTATTCCAATCATAGGTACTTGGTAATATCAACTGAAATTAATGCAATAATATTCAACGCTCTGCTTCACTCTTTTTTTTTTTTTTTTTTTTTTTTTTTTTTTTTTTTTTTTTTTTGGCCTTCAGAAGGCTGGAAATTACACAGCATACAAGATATGATGTGTTGTGTGAAAGGAAGCATATGAGGATACGAGTGTATGTCATACATGATACATACATGTATATTCTTACGATTGTGTATATGGTATATAAGAATACATATGGAAAAACAGGAGAAACTTTTTTGAAAGTAAAAAAAAAAAAGAGGAAGAAGATAATCTGGAAACTTCTTCTTTAGTGGAAAGAAATAATTGCTTCGCCTTTAGTGTTAATTTGACTTTTAATGCAATAGATAATTTAGAAGCTAAGGATGCACATTGTTATAATGACAATTGAAGGCTTCTCCTTCCACACCTTACATTTTAAATTCAATTTGTACTTTCTTTTTACCAAATTATAGAGCGTAAATGAAAAATATTCAACATTTTTTTCCCTTAGTGATCATCAACATTATTTTTTTTTAACTAATATCAAATTAATAAAATATTTCTAAAAAATAAACCAGTTTATTACATAACAATTTGTAACATTTATTGAAAAATTCATTTCGATTACTAAACTACTATAAAACCCCTCCATCCTCCACAATTAAGTACTAATATCCCAAAACAATATCACAAAAACAAAACCATCATGAGATCTCATCATCCTCCCTCCTTATTCCTCCTCATTTCCCTCCCTCTTTTCTTCTCCTTCTTCACTCTCCAACCCACAACCAGCTCCGCAACCCTAATCCGCGATACCTGTAGACAGTGCTCCAAAACTGACCCGAACCTCGACTACGAGTTCTGCACGAATTCCCTCGAATCCTCGCCCTACAGCCGTCGCTACTCCTCCGATCTCCACCAACTCGGCTTGCTCTCCTTCAACCTAACCAGGCACAACGTGACAAGCACTAGGAATTTCATCAAACACCTTCTCAAGAACAACAAGGAAAAGAAGCTTGATCCTTATGTCAAGGCGTGTTTGAACGACTGCTTGGAGCTTTATACCGAAGCGCTTCGGTCGATCAAAGACGCCGAAAAGGATTACAAAGCTAAGGAATATGATGATGCCAACATTGCTTTGAGTTCTGTCAATGACGCTTCAACAACTTGTGAAGACGGTTTTAATGAGAAGGAAAAGGTGGTGTCGCCATTGACGAAGAGGAACCGCTATACGTTTCAGTTGACTGTTATTTCTCTTTCCATCATGAATATGCTTACTTAACCAGTGGTTGAATTTAACTATGTTAATAAAATACGTACAAGACAAAAACAAAAAACAAAATTAAAATGAATAAGTTAAGAAGATATATATGTTGCTCTTGGTTTGTTTTGATCATTTATTTGTATTTATTTGGTTTCTTATAATTTGCATATTATGTATAGAATTGATGACATTCAAATTAATATATTGGAAGAATAACAATTCACGAACTTGAGATTTGTAGCGTTGTTTGTAAAGTAAATCTCGAATTATTGAGCAGTTTATTCATATTATAAGTACACATTTATTGACGTAAGCTAAGTCTTGTTAAAACTATATCAAAATAGACATATGGATTAAGTTGATGCATACAAAATACATGTTTGCATTATAGTTAGCAGGCACAGAATTGTAAGGGGAAAAAAATCTCTCTGTTTGGATTACGTACGAATAATGAGCAAAATTTTTGGCTGGTAAATAATTATGTATATATACGTGGAAATTAATTATGTTTTTATGAGCTTTGAAGCTAAGATTAGGAAAGAATAAAGACTGACTTTCAAGTAAATTTTTGTTATACTACACATTTTTCACACCAATCAATACTCATTATGCTACTTTTAGGTTTTGATAAATTTTGAGAAATAAATTAGCATATAATTTGCATTTTATCAATGTATATTCATCACTCACTTTTTTTTTTTTTTTCAGTGAATAAGCATTCACATTACTCACGTTTCCGCTATATTATAATGGTTGCTTATTTGGCGATCGCCAAAGGATAATCACCACAAATCAAAGCTAGAAAATGATTTGCACTCACACGGAGTCCAATTATAAATTTAAAAAAAAAATGGAGAAAGTCAATTTTGGACAATTGCCAGCAAAATGTAAAGCTTGCATTCAAGGTAGAAATCATGAAAAAACTATTTCTTCAACAACATAAGGTGGAAATATACCAACTAGCCCGCTCGGTTCGCTAATTCGAGTTTTTAATTTGAGTTGAGATGTGATGTTGTATGAGAACTTTTTACTGTAGCAAGAAAGTTAGATGTGACTGTTTCTGAGAGCTTTTTACTGTAGCAAAACTCAAATTCTAAACTCGAATCAGCGAAAGCGTTGAGAATGACATAATTTTGGGAAGACCGGATTTAACATATTAATTTATCATAACGCAGCGCTCATTCTTTTCATAGGTTTAAACAGAAAATTCGAACAAAAATTAAAAAATTTTATATAAAAAAAACATTATAGTAAAAAAACTTAAATAGGCAAGTAAATTACTCATATACTCTTACTTGCCGCAAAGTGGAACACGAGTTTCTTGTAACTTACAGAATGAAACACTTGTGATATGTGATAAATGACTTATGACTCCAATAAATGATTGGCAGCGTTGCATATGGTTTTCATATTTGCCATCCAAATATATATTAATGGCACCATATAAAAACTAAGCTATTTCTTTTTCCTTCACTAAATCGGAAATCTGATAGAGAAAATTTGATTTTTTTTAACCAATTGTAGATAATTGAAAGGAAAAAACAAAAAAAGAAATAGTTAGCAGAAATTTGATGGTGCGTTAAATGGAGTAACTTGAACGCTGGGTTTGCTAATTCTGTTGGTTAGTGCTTCAAATCTACACAACGTTTTTAGACTTCAAATCTACACAACGTTTTTAGGTCCTTCCACAATCGAGCTAATTATGACAACAATAATTGTTGGTATCGGTTGAATGTATAATTTTTTATCCACCAGTTTAAAATTATGGGAACTTAATACATTGGCCAGTTTAAAATTATTAGAATTTTAGTTAACCTTTGGTTTATGGGTTCAGAATCATGATTTATGATTTTAATTTTTTAAATTAAAATGTTTTGTGAGAGAAAAATACTGTAGTGAATCAAGAACCGGGCCAGAACCCTCGACTCAAAACAAACGGAGCATAACATCGCTTTCATTAGTTTTTTTTTTTTTTTTTTTTTTTTTTTTTTTTTTTGTATGAATCACTTTTATAGCTTGTGGGTTTTTTTTTTATTTTCTGTCTTCTCAAAACTATTGAAATTATTTGTTGTTACAAATATATATATATATATATATATAAAGTGTACTATTTTTTAAGCAATCAAACAAATTCACACCACATACTCTGGCAAACCCTAAAATAAAACGGTAAAACTAACTCCAATCGTACGTATCAAACAATATTACAATAAAAAATAAAAATAATTTTTAGGTTCTTAATCTTTTTTATTATAAAGTTAACTATAAGTTTCTGTAACTCAACAAAAATAACCATATTTCTATAGCATAGTAGCTCAAAATTTTATTGAAATAGTTACATCCAATGTAAAATGTTCTCGTAACTATTGTTAAAAACCCTTAAAAGCTAAAATATCGTGCACTTAATATAACTATATATGTAAAACTTTTAGTAATATGCAATAGGGATATAATTATCCTTCTTAAATTTTAGGAATGGTTCATAAACTCTAACATAAGGGAATAAAAACAACAAAAATAAGGAATTAAAACTAAAAAAATAAAGAGAGTAACCTACCAAAAAGAAGTTTAGGGCCCAAAATGTCACTGTGCTCTCATAACTCATGGACTAATAGGAGAATTTGGTTAAAATAATCAAGTGAAAAAGTAAAATTAAGAAAATGATTTTTTTAATTTTAATTTTATTTATTTCTCCTCCTGCCAGTCTCCTTCCGCCGGAATCAATGGCAGCACTCCATTTCTCTCTCTTCTTTTCTTTCTCTTTCTCTCTCTATCTTCTTCAACCTTTTTGGTAGCTTCCAATTCAAAAGCAAAGCACTCCAAACAAAGGAAACCGACATTAGAGCAGTTGAGGAAGATGGAGAAGAAGGAGAAGGAGAGAGGGTGATCATGAACGCCATGGTTGTGGATTGTGGTTTGTTTTGGTGAGCTTTCTTCTACGCTTGTGGCTTTAAGAAAAAGCAAAAAAAAAAAAACAGAAAAGTCATTTTGCAAGTAAAAATTTTTGAATTGTTATTTTATGAATAAAACTTTTCTATTAGGTTATTTTTACAAAGGCCTCGACTAATAGCGCCAACAACTTTTTCACATATTTGAACTGTATGAATAAACTTGAGATCTCAAAATTAAAAATGAGGGTCTAATTACCACTCCACAAAGTGCCCGTTTGTTCACAAGTATGATCACAAGTATTGATTTTGATTATGTAGTTTTCTCTCAAAAAAAATTTGAATAAAAAAAGTTCTTGTCAATAGATTCTCTCACAAAATTTAAATTCATAATCAAAATCAATAACTTAAACACATGAACTAAACACATCATTAGTGACCAAACTCGAATATTATTTAGCATTTTGACAACTTAAACTTTTAAATTTTTATTTTAACAACTTACACCCTAAATTTATGGTGTTGCAATGGGACCTTAAATTCATGAAGGCTATTAAATGTGTTCAAAAATACAGTTAGACATATCATATGAGCTAGTTGAAGGCTGAGACTGAAATTCCAAGTGGCAACGACACAAAGTCTAGTCAAGTAGGTAAGGACACTTCCTTCTAAATTTTAACAACTCTCGTTGATTCGATGGCAATATACAATATAAGTTCAGAGACAACAAGTGCAAGAAACTTTTTTTTCTCCATCCAAAAAAAAAAAGCCACGGTGGTTGAATACATATTTTACTATATTGGTGGTCATTCTATGGTGTCTCCCCAACGTAAATTTAGTGCACAAGTTATTATATAATTCCAACATTCAAGTTCACAAATTCCAACGTAAAATATACAAGTTATCGTATTCCTAGTATGGCGTTGGGAATTTCCTGCGAACATAAAAGTACAAAATCAATCAAACTAACCCAAAATACAAGCCGAACAAGCCCAAAAGTACAAAATCGAATTTCATAAACGAATAGACTCTTTTAGTGCAAAATGGGTCCGAGAACTTCTGTCTTACTTTAGAAGAGGTTAGAGGGAGGAAGAAATGAATACAGATAAAACTTGCAGGAATTCTACGGTAAATAACTCAACATGACCAACATCTTCATACTAAAATTGGTACTAGTACCAAAACTTTGATTTAAATTGCAAGTGATAAAACTACATAAGAAAAAGTAACGCATATTATTTATTACCTACTAGAACCTGCACTTGAAACCTTCTAACAAGTTACAAGTCAAAAGGAACTAAATAGGAATGCTTAAACCATGGACAGGAACAAAAGCAAATCCACGAACTGACAGAACATAGCCGACGCCAATAACTGTTTAAATTTGAAGCGCAGATAGGACACCGAAGTTTTGCCACAGAAACAGATTAGTTAAGGAAAGGCTGTTTTCTTTGAAACAGATTCAAATTATTTTCCACCCAAGATGGACTCAAATTTCTACAAACAGCAAATAAACAAAAAGAAATAAAGCTTGAGCAGATCAATTTTAAAGCGAAAAAGACACCCCATAAGAAAATTAACCGGCCATTGGATGGTTATAGATGTACTCAATGGCAAGATTACAGGAGTCAATCTTATCAGCTTCCTTGTCCGGAATCTCCAACTTGAACTCCTCCTCCAAAGCCATCACAATCTCCACACTGTCCAAGCTGTCCAAGCCTAAATCCTTCTCAAAATGTACATCGGGAGAAACCTGAGGATAATTGCAGAGTCTGAATCAAAATGTTATTGTAAAAAATATAGAAGAAAATACATGCTTGCAAGATAGAGGCACTAAATCACAAAAAAAAATAATAATAAAAAATAAAAAATAAAACAAATAAAACAAATTTCAGTGATAGCAGTTCCATAATTTCATCGATTAATAAGAGTTCTTGGCGCAGATATCACAGATATTAGATACAAAAAAAGAATTAAAAGCATGCCTTGAAAAATCAGGCCACGCCAATCTAGAGACCTCAAGTCCGGCTCATTCGTTCGTTGACATTGTCTGAACCATACCAATATCGAATAATTCTCAAAAGAAAGGCAGACAAACAGATTAGATGAATGAACTTAGTGGAGTGCTCTGCTGGTGTTACCGAAGCAATGTCATTAGTGAATTCATTAATGGAATCGTGGACACATCCTCTAAGAAATACGTTGACGTGCCAATGTCAGGCTAGCTGAAAACTAAAGTTCACAAAAGATTGGTGAAAAGAGATTGATGACTAATGACTATTTCAACATTCTTACATAGAGCTGTTACGTTGAGTGTTACTAACTAAAAGCCTAATTAGTGCCCCCTAACACAGAGTCAACAAGCAACCGGCCTAAATAGGTATGCCTAAATAGGTATACACTGGGAGTTTTCACACATGTATTTTCCAGTTGCTCTACTTATATTTGAGGACACTGGGTTTGGGAATTAGGTTAGAGAGATAAACACCGAGAGTCTACACGCGTGAGGTATGCAATTCCTGTTGTAATCTTCTCTTCATCATAGTGAAATTCTTTCAGATTAATGGTGAAACACTACAAATCTTGCGTATTTTCCAATCTTTCTTTATTTTATTACTCTCGTTGTTAAAGAATTAGGGCTTTAATCCATAACCATTACCCTCATTCATTAGTAATGGATTAAGGCTTAAATCCATAACCTGTTCCTCGTATAGAATGCTTTAGACTCACTAAGCATTCTAGTGTAAACTCTAATTAGCCAAGCAGCAAAAGTATTCTCTCTCTCTCCAGTAAGAATGGTGCTTCTCCAAAAGAACAGGGCATTGTGAACCCAAATCAATAGCTAAGATTCGTTACAAAATTAAACTAAATCTGGAATTGTTTCGTTGGAAAGAAAACACAAGGAAAGAGAATCGTATTTTTTATCTCATACTATCCAACCATTTCTCGACCACGATATGCGGATCAATTAAACGAAATTCCAACTAGTCTTCCATCCGACAAGAAGTTTTTCTCCGGAAACAAACGGAATGTGCATACCTTGGAAGGATCGACTTTGGGAAAGCTCTTGACGACGGAGAGAACTCTGTCGATGACCTCTTCTTTGGTGAGATGGTCGTCGTGCGAGGACATCCACCGGAGAAGAGTGGTGGAAGCCCTCAATGGCTGGTCAAATCTGCGAGCAGTTAGGGTTAGGGTTTGAACAGGTACTCGGACATGGCGAAGTAGGGCTGATCTCAACGCCATTTCTCTCTCTCGCTCTCTCTCTCTCCCTCTCTCTCGCTCCCTCTCGGTGTCTCCTCTCGCTTTGCTTACGACTCTTGGGTTGGGCGCTCAAACCACTGCACCCACCGGCCCACCGGCCAAGTCTAAAGCCCAAACTCAATCATCTCGTGCTTCGCACGTGATTGCCCCCTCTCTCTCCCCTCTGAAACAATACCTAAATGCAATAAAAATGGTTTTCTTTTTTAATATAAAGAAAGATGCTCGCTTTTAAGTTTTTTATTTTTTTTTATTTTAAGTAACACGAGTTTTGTTAAATATGTGATTTATTAATTTGGTGATTTATTGCTCATTAACTCGGTGATAAACATGAACTAATATCAGTAAGTAATTAACTAATATCAATCAATGAATTTTTGGTCTATTATTAATAAGTCACTGATAGTCAGTGATAACCTGAATTATCAGTAGTAAATTGATTATGAATGATAAACTAATAGTATATCAATAACTGATAACTATAAAATCTATAAGATTGGTCATTTCGATAAGAAAAAGAAAAGGTTCAACCGTCAGTTAAAAGGAGTTGACCAAAACCAGCAATCCACCTAATTCTCCCTACACAAATTCTTAATTTTTGTATTTAATGACAAAAGCATATAGGAAATAAGGTTAATAGGTTTAGTCTTAATTTTATTTTAGTCTCTGACTTTTTTAAACGTTACACAGTTGATCCATGAGATTTTATCATGTTTCAATTTTAGTCCTTATGTTAGCTTTGTATCAAACATTTGAATTTGTAAAAATTATATACTAAAATTGGAAATATATGAAGTAGAGACTAAAACAATAAAAGTTAAATTTTCATAAATATATCCAAAATTTTAGCTATTTTTAATTTTAGATTCTAATTTACACAGATTCAATTAAATTTTAATGTATCGTTAATGGTAGGACCGAAACTAAAACAAAATAAAACTTCAGGGACCATCTGTGTGATGTTTGAAAGTGAGAGATTAAAATGGGATTGAGTATAAAGCTCACATACCATTTGCGGAATGAACCCCGAGAAAGAATGATTAGGGGTGTTCACGAAATCCGTCAATTTGATGATCCGTCAAATCTATACCAATCTGAAGTTTTAGATTGGACTAGACACAGATTGAGATTTTTCCAATCCGAAATTTTTGAATCGGATTGTAGATTGATTACTTTTTAATCAGCGAATCTGAAACCTATTATACATGCATATAAGTTGTATATAAATAATGGGCCCGTTTGATAATGTTTTCAAAATGATTTGTTTTTAGTATAAAAATAAAAGTGAGATTGTTTTGAGAATTTTTTTGAAACCTATTCTGAAATTGCGTTTAATTTTTTAAAATGATTGTTTTAAGTATAATAAAAAAGTAAAATCGTGTTTGGTTATAGTTATTAATTAATATATTAAAACATTGTTGATAAGTACTTTAAAATGAAAAGAGAAAAAGGAAAATAATTTTTAACCGTTTTTTAATTCATTCACAAAAACTATTTTCACTGCCTTTTGTTTTCAAAACATTTACTAAACAAATACAGTTTGCAGACCGTTTTCATTTTCATGCTTCAAAAAACGTGTAAAAGTATTTTAAAAAACAAATAAACACCAATTCCAAATACACTTACTATTTTTAAGTTCAAGTTTTTAAATTTTTTTAAATCTGCAATATATATGAAATATTTTCTGATTATTTATATTTGGCCATATGGTAATGAATATGAATAATGAAGTTCTATTTTGAGTTTTAATAAATTTATTTTGTCATCTTTAATTGGGTTGTAACAATTTAGACTTGGTTGACAACTGTATGTAATGGTTATGCTATATTTATTTGAGTTATGTATGTTGCAAACTTTGAGTTATGATAAATGATGAAGATTTCATGTTGTTTTTTTTTTCTTTTTTTTTTTACATTTAAAGATCGTAATCCATGAAATTTGTGAATCCAATCCACAAAATTCAATAGGTTTTGGATTGAAATGGATCCAATTTGAAAAAGTCTTGGATCAGACACTAATTGAGATTTTCTTAATCCGATGATTTTGGATTAGACACGAATTAACCTCTAATTCGTGAACACCCATAATAATAATGCCGATAGGATAAAGATAAGGGAATATGCGTGTCTAATTTTTAAAATTATGACCTAAATGCAAAAAATTATAAAGTTTAAGAACTCATAACCACAAAGGCCCTTTTAGAATTGTTAGAGGTTGTGGAACGAGTAAATCATGTTTGGCATGTTTACTTACCAGGATTGAAGATTGGGAGTGGGAAATGAGAGTCAATCCCATGTTTGCTTGCTCTTTTTTATCCTGGAATGAGAATGAGATTGGTGGGTCCCACTCAAATTTGGGATTGAGGAATGAGATTGGCACTCTCATGCTCCCCCTTGGGATTGAGACTCTCATTCCTAATATTAATATTAATTTACTATCATACCCTTATTTTACTTATAAATACACAATTCAAAATAAAATTTAAAAAATAATAAATGCAACATATATTTATTATTTTATTGGCCTAATATTATAATATTAGTATAATTATTGTTAACTTTAATATAATAAATATGTGCTTTATTTTTTAATAAATTAATAATATATTTTATTTTTATTTATTTTATTTAATTTTTTAAAATTTTTTAATTTTATATTTTAAATAGTTGTCAATTTATATTTATTTTAGTACCCAATATTACACTAAATATTTTAACTATGATGAATTTTAATATAATAAATACACAATATATTTTTTAAATTGAAAATATCAAATTGATTTAAAGGGTATATTAGTACTTTAACATTTGTTCATTTCGATTCTAAGTGTAAGTAAACATATGAATGAGATTTAAAATGACTCCGATTCTGAATCATATCACTAAGTAAACAGCTTATTCTGACTCTAATTCCTCACTCTGAATCCTACTCACTCCGAATCCTTATCACTCTGAATCCTTCTCACTCCGATTCATGCTCATTCCGATTACGCGTAGGTAAACATGTAAAGTTTAGATGTATGCCCCTTTTAAAGTTTATTCAAAATTTTGATTTTTTTTATAAGAAAAAAGTTTAAACTATTATTCGAGCATGTGAAATAAAATAGTAGTGTGGGTTTTGAAAGGGGATGTTAGGAGTTAGGGATTGTCAATAGAATCACCAAAACAAAAGTTCAAGCTTTTTAATGTTAAGATTTATAATAAAAATTATATTTTTACATTTTTTTTAATTTAATGTGATTTTATCAAATCTAAAGGTCAAAAATAGATCTCACCGTTAAGAAGACCTTAAAAAAAACTCAAAATATAATTCAAAAGACAAAAATAATTTTATATAAAAAAATTAAAAATAAAGAGAAGATATTTGTAATTAACTGTGCAAAATAGAGAAAATGTAAAAGTATCCCCTTAATTTTTATTTAGGATTAATTAAATTTAAATACTGGAATCGAATATTCGAATTCTATAAATGGAGAAACAACAAAAAGTTGCGTAAGATGGATTTGTTTAGTGAAAAGAATCCATTACCCTCTTAAAACCTGATTTTCGTCGGCGTAATCTCAGGTTTGTGTTTTTGAACAGGAGCTTTTGCTCATCTCGAGTGGTTGCTTGTTTTACAGGTTCGGAATTTCTCATTTCTGAATCGATTTTTTTTTCCTTTTTTTGGGGCTGTGATTTTGATTGTCTTCTTATTTATCAAAATAACAATAATCACAATAAATAAACAAATAATCGTCGTTCTCGTTGTTTTCTGAAGGGCCGAGCTCCATCTGCTTCCACTGGCTCACCAACCATAAAGACATGACAGGTTCTCTCTAACCATTTTTTTTTTTTTTTCATTTTCTGTTGTTGAATGAAATTCGACCTGGGTTTTGTTTATTTTATTCGTTAATACAAATTTCGAGTTTTTTTCTTTGCCCATGAGTTTTTAATTAAGATAATCGAGGATGTTACCCTTTTCTCTGACATGGCTGTTTTTTTAATCAATTTGTGCTGAACCCTTTCGAAAAGTAAATACAACTATTAGGAGAGGAAGTTATTGAATGGCCATCGTGCTTACATGTTGATGAAGTCTAATTTTCTAGTGACTTGCTTTATTTAGTGACATATTGAACATTTTTTCTTTCTATGCACAATGAAAGAGCCTAGAGAATTTTAAAGACGAGAGGGAAAAAAAAAAACAAAACCTAAATAGGAAAACCCAAACCTCATATTGAAAAGTGGCTCTGTAACTGTAGAAGATTTATAAATTCAATTTTGTTTAATGGGTTTTGAAACACACGAGTTTGCTTATATTTCAATTATATCTAGTAGTTCATGAGCTTGCATAAGTTGTGGCTCTGACATGAACCTTCTTTACTAAAAAAGCCTACGAATGTACATGTAGAGTGTTCAGGGAGAATTTCTTGCAAAATAAGAGTGATCTGTGTGATTGCTGCAATATTTGGTGAAAAAAACGAAACGTCATGAAAAAGTAGTTTCATGACACACCAAGAAACTAAAATATAAGTTAGCATATTTTTCATGATTTGGATATCATTGCTCATATTCCGTTCCTTGTTTTATGATTATATATTCTTGATTTAAATGCTTTCCTAGTTATTTGACTTTTAGTGATTAGTGAAACGGTATAGCGGTGTAATCTGATTGCAAATATATTGTATACAATTCAGATAACCAAGAACCAATTTTGTCAAAAGATGAAACGTCAACACATCAGATACTATTTGCTAAAGTCAAGCGCTGGCAATGGTGGTGTTTGGTATCACTCAACGTAATTTTCCTTTTGGTGGGTCAAGCAGCCGCTGTTATACTCGGCAGATTTTATTATGACCAGGGTGGTAATAGTAAATGGATGGCTACACTTGTGCAAACTGCAGCCTTCCCTCTCCTCTATCTTTCGCTATTTTTTCTTCCTTCTTCCCAACATTCTTTAACTTCTTCAGGAGCACCTTCTATTAAAATTCTTGCCTCAATTTACTTCTGTCTCGGAGTGGTTATAGCTGGTGACAACATGTTATATTCTGTTGGGCTCCTATATCTCTCAGCCTCAACTTACTCCCTTATTTGTGCCACCCAATTAGCTTTCAATGCGGTTTTCT